TTAATTGTATGATCTTAATACACTTTCTCATGTATTTTAGTATTATTGCATACCCAGTGTATAATTCCTTACCTCCAAGCCTTCTCAACTCTCACCATTGCATGGAATAAAGCAGACAAAAAGCCCTGGCATTTCGGAGATTCTGTGATGCTTAGAGAGACATCTATAGACTAAGTAATTAGAAAATGTACAACAGGGCTGGGGATTTAGCTCAGCGGCAAAAGCGCCTGCCTGGCAAGCGCAAGGTCGTGAGTTCAGTTCCCGGTACCGGAGAAAAACCTAAAAAAAAAAAAGAAAATGTACAACAAACTAAATTTTCTCAGAGCTATTTTTTGGAGTTTGTTCCTTTCTGAGTCACTAGCTTCATAGGTAGATTGTATTTTCCTTATGACTTGAAATTTTGAGTTTTACATTTTCACAGCAAGGATCTTCTGGATTTTCTTACTATAATCAGAAGATGATCCATTGTTTACATTGTTTGATTAGATTTATATGACAGTTACTTAGGGGGAAAATTGTACAGTAACTTGCTAGCATTGAAAATACACAATATATATATGGTATAGTTGGAAATTTGGTGTTTTGCTTTCTTGCTGAAATCATAGGATAATCAACCATGTTTTGAAACTGTAACATTTGATTTGAACTTAATATGAACAGAGATACATTATTTTAGTATGTGTTTTTGTTTTACTCTATATACTAGAGCCTCTGACTTTCAAAGAGGTTTGCAAGTGCAAACTGAATATTAAGGTTAGTTTATCAGAATTACTAGCATAAATAGGTAGTAAATACCTTGAAGTCAATGCTCATGGACTTTGATTTCTAGCATTTAACATGCCTCTTCATGTGGCTGGGGATTTAGCCCAGTGGTAGAGCACTTGCCTACCAAGTGTGAGGCCCTCAGTTTGGTCCTTAGCACCAAAATTGTTTTTAAAAAAAGAAGAAAAGCTTCTTTGTAACAGGGTGTGGTTGCACACGCCTGTAATCCCAGCACTCTGGGAGGCTGAGGCAGAAGGGTTGCAAATTGGAGCCCAGCCTGAATGACTCAGTGAGACCCTGTCTCAAAATAAAAAACTAAAACTGGAAGATGTATCACAGATGTATTTAGGGCTTCAGGACAGAAGCCCTAAATTCAGTCCCTAGTACCTAGAAAGTATAAAAAAGTTTCCTCATGAAGATGTCGAAAAAGAGTAAGGAAAATTTTATTTTATTATTTAGTTATGCTGCACATATTCTGATGCCTGAGTGTGTAAAACATTTACTGTGGATTGTTTTTATAGTCAGTCTCTCCATCCCTATATTTGCCTTATATTTTCAATTCTCTTCTGGATTATACTATTAAGTCAGAAAATAGTTATATAATAAGTTTCTGTATTGCTTTGGATGTATAGAAGCAGAAGCGTATAAATTTCTTGTTTCTTATATTTCTAACCCTTAACACCTACTGACATTGTAACAGCCTCAATCTAAGCTCTGTGTCCATCATATCAGCTGAGACAAATGGGAGGTGGGTAGAAGGGTAATACCGTCCTGCCATTGCCTACCAATCAGAGAGTCCAAACAGAACTCTTCTTTTTTTTTTTTTTTTGGTTTTTCTCTGGTACCAGGAACCAAACTCACGACCTTGCGCTTGCCAGGCAGGCGCTTCGCCGCTGAGCTAAATCCCCAGCCCCAAACAGAACTCTTCTGAGTAGCAGTTATTGAACTTGCCGAGTCAAGGCGCTGTGTTTATATACTATTTCACACTGAGTTTGTGCCCTACAGACCTGGCTGGTCAAGGATTTGCTATACATACACTGGCTTGGGATTCAAATGTTTCTATTTAAATTTAAAATATATGTGGTGTATTTTAAGGATCTCTTCACATGAGTGCAGCTATTGTGATAAAATGATGGATTTAGAGGTAGCACTAAATGCAGAAGAGGCATTTTTTCAGTTGATACATATGTTTTCCTTTTTTCCAGAATCACATGTTCATGTTTTGGCTTTTTAAAAATGTAAACTCTCAATTGAAAATTTAAATTCTTTATTGGGACAAGGAAAGAAACTTTTGTTATGTCTGACAGAGTCTTGAGAGCTTTCATTTTTCTGTGTAACTATAAAAGGCAAAATTATTGGCCTGTAAGGTTTTTTTTTTTTGTCTTTTTGAGACAGAGTCTCACTATGCAGCTCAGGCTGGCCTTGTGCTCACTTTGTAGCCCAGGCTGGCCTCAAACTCACAACGATCCTCTTGCCTCAGCCTCATGAGTGCTGAGATTACAGGCATGTGCCACCACACCTGGCTTGGCCTGTAACATTTTATGGGCAGGCATGGGAAGATCTTATTTCTTCTTTAGATATGTCAGACAATTTTTAAGTTTTATAAGCAGTTAGTTTACTCTGGTAGTTAGAATTACTGATTTTGTTATTGGAAAAGTATTTAGAGTTATTGGGTTTGTTGAGATTGAGACTATAACTAGTTACATTTTGGGTATGTGTTAAGATAATAACTCAAATTCTGTTATTTTTGTTATCTCCTCCAACTACACTAGTATCTTTTTACATATATTTTCATTTTGGGGCAAAATAATCTTTTAAAGTGTAGTTTGGACTCTAGTTGTACCCCTCAAAGGCCTCATACTCTAGGCAATCTGGTTGGGTAGAAAGAATGGTATACTGTCCCACTATGCCTAATTCAGTTATTTTAGATTGGTCATCCTGCCTTACCTAATGAAAATTCTTACAGCTTTCCTAGTGCCCACTAACAGGTTTATGAATTCAGTAAAACTCCCCAAGAAAAGCTTTAGAGTTTGGTTGGTTTGGGTATTTCCTTTTGTTTCTCTGATACACTTTGTGATAGTGGGAACCACTGAGGATAAATGGCCTATCGAGGCATAACTACTTGACTATACCTGTTTTATAAATCAAAATTCCAAAAGCATTGATTTTTTTCTGGCTTTTTAATTTCATTAGTGCCTTTAGAAACGTAAAGACATGAAACAAATTCGATAGGAAATAAAGTTTTATGCTTTCTTATTGAAATATTAGTATCTTGTTAAGGCTATTTGCTTTTTACTGAATTCAAAAGCAAAACTTGGACATTTCCGATGAACAAAAACATGTCTGAAAAGATTAAATTAGGAGTAATAAGCATTGTAGTCACTCTTATTTAGATAACAAAGCCAGGGTTTGTTTTTGTTTTGAGACAAGGTCTCCCTTAATATAGTTCAGGCTGGCCTTGAACTTGCAGCAATCCTGCCTCAGCCTCCCAGGTGCTGGGTTTACAGGTGTGCACCACCACACCTGGACAGGGTTTTTACTATACTGAGGAATATAGAAGAACTGAGTTAATAAGGCATCTGGACTCCGTTTCCTGTCTTACGTGTAGTTCCTTTGCCTAATTTATAGATACTGTCAAGTTCAATAACCGCCTTGTTTTCAATAATTTAAAGAGCCTGAAGTGACTAAAGATCCATTCTGTATTACTAATTAATTATAGCTTGTGTTTCTAGTAATATTCATAAGACACGATTCTTAATGTCATCTATAAATATTCACCTACTCAGAATGTATGAGAAATATGTTTGGTACAACATTAATGTGGGTGATTTTTCTTTTTGTTCCGTCTTACTTCCTTACCTTTTTCCTATTCTTTCCCATGTATTCTTTTGCCTAAAGTCAGAAAACTGGTAATATTCTCATTTGCTACTTTGAGTACACAATTCTGTCAAACTTTCCATGGGTCTTCAGTTTGGGGCTCCAAATTTAATTTCTAAGTTTTCCTGTGGATATTTTTTTCTTTGTCCTGACCCTTTTCCACTCTGAAATTTCCCCTTGACTTTTCCACTGCCCTTCCCAATCTGTAACAGTGACAGTTTGCTGCCTCAAAACAGAGTATTCGAATAAATTTGCTCAGCCAAAAACTTCTGTGAAGTTGCCTTTTCTAATGGCGTTTCTACTCAGTGATATACAAATGTGGTATTTCCCCTGCTAATAGGCAAACAAAGCTCTGGTTAAGAATGGTAACCTGCAGTTTTCTTAAAAGGAGCACCAAGGAAGGACTTGCGCTTTGCTCTGTTTTGGTTTGGAGTCCAATAGCATCCGTTTTGATTTTGAAATCTTTTAGGATTTGTGAGTTTCTTGTACTATTTAGATTTATCTAAGTTAACTGTTAAAGTTGGCCTTATAAAATGAAAAATTAATTTTAAAAAGTCATTCATTTTTCTAAACTAGTGAATATCATCTTTTATAGTACTATAAGTAACTCCCCCCTACCTCCACTTTTCTTTTTTTTTTTTTTTTGAGAGTATATTGTGATAGCATGCTTTGTATTTTTATGTTTTTTTCACTTGTGCCTAAAGGATGATATAGTATGAGTAGGTCAAGTGATGAGACTGTGAGAAATAGTTAACTGTAGTCAGATTATGTAGTGTCAAAGAAAATTAGATTCTTTTCACTAAAGAAGATTCAGTCAGGTGTGGTGGCGCACGCCTGTAATCCCAACACGCGGGAGGGAGGCTGAGGCAGGAGGATTGTTGTGAGTTCGAGACCAGCCTGGGCTACAAAGTGAGCTTAAGGCCAGCCTGAACTGCATAGCGAGACCCTGTCTCAAAAAGACCGAAAAGAAAAAAGAAGATTCAGTTACTGTTACTCATATACACGTTGGTGATCGATGAAAGTCTCACTATCTTCCCTTTTCTTTTTGCTTGTTTTAAAGGATTGAGTAAAGGTTTCCTATAGTAAAAAGAAAGAGTGAGTGAGTGAGCTTGAAAAGGGCCAGCCAGTTTGGGATTATCATTTCCATTGAGTGTCTGTCTCTGCTTTTGACAGGGCTCTTCAGATGGAATTTCTAAATCCCTGGAGCTTCGTCAAGGGCAGTCTCGCTCACAGGTAAATGGAAACAGCAGCACATTGACCAAGGAAGAGAAGAGCGATCATCGTCTTCCAGCTCCATCACAATGTGCCTTATCCAGAGTCAGCAATGTGTGTAATGATGGTAATCACTGCCTCCCTGCGAAGAATGAGGAGAACCGCTCACAAGAACAAAAGTTGGAAACTGTGGCACAGCGACAAGAGGAATGACAAGCTGAAGATGGCTTCACCAGTCAGGAAGAAGGGAAAACTGTACTTTTCTGATTCTAGGCCCAAGTTAGAGTAGGATATAAGTGCTCACCTAAATTCATCCTCAGTTTTGATGGGGTGTCTTATTATCTCTGTCTTTCCCCTTATCTTTTCTTGGGCTCCAGAGTTAAGAACTGGGGAATTTCTTCTTAAAGATGAATAACGTGAAGAGTAGTTCCAGTTCTCAAATTGAATATATACCACCCATATTCTATCTCCTCTGGAAGTCTAGTAAAGCAGTAACAGTCAGAAAATGGGTGTTATCATGTAAGTCCTCTGAAGTATTTCTACCTTTGGTTTTTTGAGTATCATGATACTTATTTGCAGACTTACCTGGATACATCTTTGGGGTTGAGGGGACAGCTTTCTATGGCTTCCTCGTTTTTTCTTTTTTTTCCTCTGAGTTGATACGGTCTTGATATATAATTGGTATCCATCTCCTCTTTACATTTACTCCCAACTCAGCTGCCCCAGAATTTTGTATACCACCTCTAACTCCGGCCTGACAATCAGATAAGTAGATGTTTTTAGGGAACCGGATAGTGTTGATTATTTTATTTTTTATTTTATACACACAAAAAAAAAACTACCAATGGCCTTTGTACTGGGAGATTCAAGTGAGTCGGAAAAGTACTGGGCAGATTTTTCCTGCCTCTTAACTAGCCCATTGTTTGTAAAATAGAAGATGTGGTGCAGTTCACCCACTCTTTGCTGCCCATACCCTGAAATGGGTGGGAATCAATGTTACGAAACTGAGTACGAAAGGGACTCAAAAGACTCTGTGTGTGGGTGTGGGTGTGGGTGTGTGTGGTTGTACATATGAATGTGTGTATCTATATGCATACACATACCCTTTATATAAAGAGACAGATCTATTTATCTATACATATTTTATATATGTGTGTGTACGTGTGTGTGTATACACATACATACATACATACATGGTGATGTCCCAGAGGATTTACCGAATTTCCCAGAAACGCTTCCACTGCTATGGAGTGGTAGGTTTCAAAAGATCACGCTTTAAATCTAAAATCTTTACTAAGTCACAGCCCATCACAATTATGAGAAGATGGACTACTCTAAATCAGACACAAAGTCCTTTCCAGAGATTGCCTGTTCAGAACAACAAACACTTGGGTTGTAACAAGCTTAATCTCGAACAGAGCCCTCACATCCCATATGGTAAAAACTGGAGGTTGGAATGGGATTGGGAAGAGTTGAGTATTTCTTTATAAAAGTTGGAAGAGAACGAAGGGGTGGGAGGTGATTTGAAATTCTGCCAATTTGGAGAAAATCGCCCTTGGAATTCCAGGGTCAAATTGGCTTCAGGTAAGAACTGATTGACGAGAGTCCCTGAATGAGGGACACTTTGTATTGGAAGATGGTATAGGGAAGTGTGAGGAAATTTGACAATTTGATTTTACATGCCTAGATTGTTTAATTTGTTCATTGACATTTTGACTACCGGATCTTTTCATTTGCTTTGCAAGGAACACTTCAAAGGACTTTGGCCTGGGCCTTGAAAAACATTCTATAAAAGATTCTCAGTCCCCTTTGTGGCCAGGATCTGCCCAGGATAAAAAGGCTGTTCCTCCTTGCTGGAGATAATCTTGAGACAACCTTGCATTTCCAGTTTCTCTCCTTGGGCAGCCAAGATACAGGGATGGAAACATGGCTTGCAACAAATTAGCACTGTAACTTCATTCAGGAACTGGGGCTTCCAGCCTCGTAAGTCTCTTGGGGCTGCCAGCCTCGTGTGTCTCTCTCTGGGCTTTCTTATATCTTGCCCACCAAGTACCACTTCTACTGGAATACAACTGACTAGACCTCTAGCAGGGTTCTCTTTTTTGGAAAAACTCCATGCGCATTAACCCAGAGCAGGTCTTTGGTGATTTCTTTTTTTTTTTTTTCCAGACAACCAGAAGGCTGTTTTCTAACTGTCCACTTACAACGACCATATCCTGAGAAACTGAAAACAGTCTCAGACTAATCGTAGTCTGGCCCAGTTTAAGAGAACCCACAGTTTGCAGGGGGAGGGAGCCCTAGGATACCTTGCCCCTGCCCCCATATTTCTTACACAGAGCAGGATGAGAAGAGTGTACCCCCAGCAAGATGTAAGCAGGAACAAAGCATCTGAAAACCTATTGGAGTCAGCTTCCCTGATTTGGCCCTGCTTCTTCTCTCGGACCTGCGTAATCTTAAGGTTAGGACTTACATATCCATGAAGGGAGGATACTTACATGGCCCAGAAGTCTCCTTCTGTGCCACAGAGCTCTAAAAGTAACCAGAGTCACTGAGCTGTGAGTGAACGGAAATATACACATACGGAGTTAAATGATGAAGTATCTTTTCAGTTGCTGTTTCTGTACGTCTTGAGTCTGTCTGACACAATCAGGTGACAGTATTGTTAACTCTCACAACATTAAGATTGCTTATTCTGCAGGCATTCACTGTGAGAGGTAAAACTGCTGCTTTGACAGGGATGATTCCAGTTTGCCACAAGACCTGCGTTTCTCCCTCCGCATATCTCTTCTTTCCCCTAGGCTGGCCCAGGGTGAAACGAGTGGTTGACCTCCAACTTTGATTTTTATTTGGATTCATCATTTTAGGTTTGGAAGTTTACAAGAAAGAACCATCAAAGGCCATATTCCTAGATTTCCGTCTAGCTGCCAAAATACACAACTTAAAAGCCAGCCAAACTAAGATTCACTACTGGGAGCTAAACTTTTTCTGACTGCAGGGTAAAATGAGAAAGGTGGGACGTGATCTTTGCTGTACTACTTGGAAAGACTGTCGTCTTTCGCTTGAGGTTCAGTTTCTGTGATACGGAACGGAGTCATGTTGGATCCCCAGAAATGATCCCTTTAGCTTGTACGGCCACAAGCAAGAGCACCCTGGTTGTGTGTAGCCACTGATCCCCAAGGATTTGCAGTTCTTGACTTCTGCTGGTGTGTCTTGGGGTCAGCCTCTAATTCCTACTCTTTTCCAAGCAGCCAGTCTGGTCTGGACCAGGCGAAGAAAATTTCTGCTCACTTGCGTCATTTTCATTCTGAGCCAGTAGGACTCTGGTTAGACTGAAGCCCAAGAATTGGTACTTGCTTTAGCTAGGGACATTTGAGTTTTGTCTCCATCTTGATTTTCTGACATTGTTGGCCAAGTCACTTTAACATTTTTTGATCACTGAGAAAAACAGCCAGACGAGGCATTAGGGAGAGTGGTTAAAATAGGGGGTGGGGGGCAGGAATGCTTATGTAGGGTAGAAAGAATATGGGAGTAGCTGTTTTGATTATGGTGATTCAGTCCTTTGGAACCTTAGAAGGCTCCTGTGGGCATGTCGTTGCCACCATGCCAGCCTCTAAGACCCCCTCCCTTTTGAAATGACAATACAAGTAGACCACAGTTTAAAGTAGTTAGTATAATTCTACTAAGGTTTGATCATTATACTTGTTCACTTCTTGGTGCATATTTCCTAAATATGCTTGGGGTTTGGGGTGGGGGGGTTAAGTTTTCACTGTTCCATTGTGTCTCACCCAATATTTTTCTCCCTCCCATGGCTTTGGCATCTCTTCTGACTTTCTCTTTTCATCTCTTTTGGCTTATTGTGGTAGTCTGCTGGTGCGGGTAGAGTGCTCAGTGCACCTTTTCCCATTTCTGCTAATTATCTTTCATATTGCCCAACTTACTTTGATGTTCTAAGAAAATGTCATTCATTTAATAAAATCTTTTCCAAGTTAAAAGCAAAATAAAACATCCCCTGTGCTAGGGTGCCCATTCCAGCTTTTGACATTGCCCCTATACTTTATAGATGCTCTTTTTGTCTGTGTTGGTAGTAACTAATGACTAGTGAATTTTCATGTAAGTGAAACAAATATTTCAGATTTTATTAATCTCTCATAACCCTGCCAAATCTGATGACTTCATCCTAATTACTTCCCAGAAGGTACTTCCCCTTCTACCTTTTATTTTATTCTATCCTGTTCTATTCTTAGACTAACACATTAGGTAAAGAAACTTTAACTGCAAAGAATCAGTGATTTTTTAGTGCTCCCTGATAAATGATGTTATTGACAAAAGTAAGAAATTCTTTCATTGTTTTTTTCTGTGTTACTATCTCCTCTCCTGTGTTCTTGACAGTGTGTTTAGTGGATGGATAATACGTATTTCTCTTTCCCACTCCCAGATTCCAAATTTCCTGCCTTTTTGGCCCACCTCACAACAAAAGCTCCATAGTTTATTAACGTAAGTTTGAATGGATGCTTCTTTGTGGAAACTGCAAGAGTTAATGGAAATGTTTCAGAAAGGAATGAGAATGTCTCAGGAGTTGTTCTGTGATGGAATTTGGTCCGTTGTTCTGTTAATGCTGATGGAAAGAAACTTACAGCGCTTAATAAAAGTTTATTCTTTTAGTAAAAAAAAATTGTGCAATAATTTGGGGAGTGTGAAGTTTGATTTCTTCTCCCATCTCTGGATCCCTTTTTGCAAATGGAAGATATACTTGTCTCAATTCACAAGTGGTGCACAGAGCTTTAGGAGTTTGTAGGATATCAAGACAAGAGATCCTGTAAAAGAACCATTAAAAGGAAAAACATGTTGAGCGTATTGGTTAACTTCATTTGGATGTTCTAGACACCTTTGACACATCTCCCAAACCAAACCTACTCTTTCTTTTGAATCCTGCTGCTGTCTCTGAGTGACGCTCCTATCTACTCAAATTGCCTGAACCGCAAACCTACCTAGAGGTTAATTATCCTAGGCTTGTGCCTTTCCCTCCTTTCTCAATTCAGTTGGTGACAAGATCCATTGATTACACTTCATTAGCCAGTTTCTCCAGTTTCTGTTCTAGTTCAAGCCCATGATGTCTCACCTAGACTGCTGCCGTCGCTCCCGTCCCTTACTCCTAGCCAGGTGATTGTAGGCAACACTGGCTACATGAATGTACCTTTTTCCACTTAGAAGGCCTGCACTTTTGTTTCCAGGCTTTTAAAGGAGACCGTGGGACAAGAAAAAGTTAAGTGTAACAGAAAATGCCCCCTCCTCCCAGCCAGTATACTTCAGTTGCCTAGGTGACAGTCCTGTTACAGTGTCTGTTGCTTCTGTCTCTTAGAAACGGCTGGTCACTGTGATGCATAGCTGGTCACGATGAGGCATATTGTAGGAGCCAATCAAAGACAGCTAAGTACTCTACCTCTCGACCTTCCCTCCCTGAGCCTTCCAGGCCTGACATTTTGAAGGACAGTCGATTCCCTGTCAGTGCTCATCTGACGTCAAATAAATCTGCCTCCAAATCCTCGGTGTTGTTTCGGTGTTTCTGTTACCGTAGCAAAGAAGCATTGCTTTAATTCTCGTATTTAATCGGCTCCCAGCGCATATTCTGTCCAACACACTGCTCAAAATTTACATGTCCCCTTCGTTCTCTAGCCTCTGACCACTTCTGTAGCCTCATTTCATTCCTCTGCTGCCCCACCGCAGTGATAATAAAGTACTCCCATACACATTAAAATGATAATATCTTCTCATTTGCTTGTACTATTTTCTGAAACACTCCTTTTCCTTTGTCCCTGATGCAGTCTCAGGTTTGCCCAGGATTCAGCTCATGTCTTTTGATTCTTTTCCTGATCCTCGGCTCGGGGTCCCTGTACAAACTCATCACAGCTGGCCCCTGCAGCACTCTTGACACGTCTCTTTCTTTGGAGTGAGCGTGAAAGCTGCAGCTGTGCTTCACCGCCACTGTGGTCCTTGGCGCCTGTCGCACAGCATGCACTTAGTAAATGTTGGATGGATAAATCAAGGGCAGGTGGGCCGCAAATACAGGTCAGCGGCACAAGTGCCTGCTGGGCAAGCATAAGGTTCCGAGTTCGATTCCCAGGACAAAAAAATATAAATCAAGGACAGCCAAAATACCTTTAAAAACATTCTTCAGTATAAAGTAGATTGTAGATTTTGTGGTAAGAACACAGCAATGTTGTGTGTAAAGGGTCATCCTTGAATTGTATTCATTTTAATGTGCTTTAAAATTGGTCTCCTGACAAAACGAGAGCTCTGAGTCACATTTGAGCAATAGAGAAATGCTTGGAACGGAGTCTGAAACTAGGACTCCCGCATTCTTCTTATCTTACTGCTTTTGCTGGATGACACTAGCTAGGCTTGACCTCCATGACCACTCTACCTTGTGTGTAGAAATTATAAAAGGAAACAGCTAGCTGGCATTGTGGTGCTGCCTGTGATCCCAGTGCTTTAGGCAGGAGGACTGCCGCAAGGGCAAGGCCATCCTGAACTGCATAGTGAGAACCTGTCTAAAAAATAAAAATAATTTTAAAAAAACAGGAAACAGCTAAGCCTGAAGGGGAGCATTAGAGGCCTGAAACTTGTAAATACTTTATCCTTAAATGAAAATACTATTTATGACATACTTTGTTTTATGTAGGTTCATTGTAGCTACAGATGTCTTCCTAGCCCTTGATCATTGAGTGTTATGACTCAGAGATTAACACTAGGAAATTGTTAGCATTTGGCTTTTAAAAATTACTGATTATTGAGGACCTGTTACATACCAGGCATAGTACTTGATTCTTGAACATTATTTCTGATCCTAAAACAGCACTGCAAAGTACTCTATACCCACTGTACATATGAGCAAACTAATTCAGTGTTGCTCAAGTTCACATACAGATAACAAAACCAGGGTTCTAAATCTAAGTGTTTTGGTTTAGTAAATAACTGCCACCTGCCCAAGATTCCTTCCTCTTTTTTGGCAATTAAGCCTAGTTTCTTCCTATAGGAAATTGCTCCTCCAAGAACTCAAAAAAATCAGACCTCCCAAATTTGAAAACCCAATCCAAAAATGGGCATCTGAAATAAATACACACTTCTCAGATGAAGAAATAAAAATAGCAAATAAACATATGAAAAAATGTTCAACATCATTGGTCATTTGAGAGATGCAAATTCAAACAACACTGAGATTCCATCTCACTCCAGAAAGAATGGCTATCATCAAGATACCGACCAATAACAAATGCTGGTGGGGCTGTGAGGGAAAAGGAATCCTTTCCTACTGTTGGTGGGAGTGGAGACTGATGCAATCACTGCGGAATTCGGTGTGGAGATTCCTCAACAAACTAGGACTAGAGGTTCCATTTGACCCAGCCATTCCCCTCCTGCGTATCTTCCCAAAAGAATTAAAGCATCATACCATAGTGATATATGCACACCCATGTTTACAATGGCACAGTTTGTAATAGCCAAATCTTAGAAACAACCCAAATGCCCATCAACTGGTCAACGGATAAAGAAAGCATTTTTTTATACAAGGGGTACTACTCTGCCATAAAGGATAAACGTGAGACATTCCTAGCTAAATGGATGCACCTTGAGCCCATACTCTTAAATGAAATAAATTGGATGCACACGTGTAAATACCGCATTGTTTCTCTGGTGTGAGAAACAAAGTGTAGCTAAGGACCAAAATGTATACTAGGTATTCTGAAATAGGAGGAAAATCTTCAAATGGGGAGGAGAACAAGGGAAATTGGAGGGAATAAGGTAAGAAGGGAAAAAGTTTTATAAAAAAACAGAAAACATAGAAACAAAGCTTGTGTAAGTGGGGAGGGGAGGAGGGGTTGAAGGGAGGGCAGGGGAATGGAGAAGGGAAACCAAGTTCTATCATGTACAGGTACAAATTCTCTGTGATGAATGCGATCATTATGTATATCTAAAATGTACCAATAAAATAATTTGAAAAACGAAAATGCTCCTCCATATTTGGGGTAAAGTAGGGTGACCATCAGTCATACGGTTTCTCCTCCTCCAGCACAGGCATTAGCGGGGGTATGTGAGCCAAGTGAGGCCAGATGTACCTTTTCATGGACTTGAGAGAAGAAGTGACAAGGAATGAAAATATTTAAGATCATTAATATTAGTTATAATATGAGCTCAGAACATGGCCTTGTATTTACATCTACAACTAGTTTTTGTGAGAAATAGGAGAAGTCTCTCTGGTCACCTAGTAGCAGATACATGAAGGCATCTATTGAGGGCTGTGTGTGTGCGAGAGTTTGGGGAATTTTTTGTTACACATTCATAAACTCTGGAAAAGACAAACGTATCAGGATAGACTAGGTCTTGCTGCAGTATTTTCCAAAGCTCAGTTATTTACCAAAGGTATATTTGTTCTTATATGTCCAACATGGATTGACAGAGGAGCTCTGTTCACCTACATTCACATGGGAACTCAATAATAGAAGCTGCACCAGAGTCAGGGAGAAAGCATAAAAATAATATAAGGCGTGATTAAACACAAAAAGATATGTAACATACTTCATGAAATTCGATAGTAAGTCAAACACTCATGATCTCACTTTAGAACCTAAGAACTATTCCATTTCCCATAACCTGTATTTTGAATTTTTTTCAGTACTGGAGTTGAAAGGGAATAGTGAGCTAAGTCCCAAGCCACCTTTTTTGGTTTTTTTGAGCTACGGTCTCACTAAGTTACCCACTCTGGCAATCTCTCCTGCCTCGGCCTCCTGAGTAGCTGGAATTGCAGGTGTGTGCCAATATGTCTGGCTCTTAAAATTCTTTTAGCCGTTTATTTTTT